GTGGATATTCTTTTTTGGCACTCGAAGGGTAGTGGCTTGAGTCCGGTTTCTTATCCGACTATGAAAGCGAACGAAACACACATACACTAATACTAACTAGATTTCTTAATTCGCTTGTCTATCTTGTTCGATGTTATACGTACGCGATCGATGAGAGTGTACGAAAGGAATTCCTCTCGCAGTGTTTGTCTTCTGACTTGCCTGTTCAAGTTCATTACGGGATCGAAATATTTAAATAATGATGCGATTAATATTCCAATGATCTGACGGTAATCCTTCAGTATTCATTCTACCTTCACCTGCACGCTACCTATCTTGGTCTCGGCAGTGCCCCGGATCTCGATGTTTACAATAGATCTAATTAGTCTCCCTAACGTGCATCGATGACCTACCGTAAATTGTATTTCCCACTGGGAGTATCACTTTTGAGGCAAGATTATCACTGATTGGCAAAACCACCTGCAATCATTGACCTGTGAGGTCCCGGGTTCGATCCCCAGTTAGATCGATGGATTCGCACTGCTGGTGAGACCCAACCAGGTCGAAACAGCTATCCAGTGCTTCCTCGTTTTTCGTTCACGCTTCATTTGCCACATATTCACGACGAATTCACCTTTGAAATTGAATCAAATCCTCCATCACTCATTTGGAATACGTTTACATAGTTGAAAAATGAATTAATTACGATATTTCAAATTGAGTTTGTCACCTCAGAAGAACTATCATTTTGTGATCATTTAGAATACTGTATTCTAAGCATGGTTAGACAGCCCTTCCCCGTTTGAAACAGTTTATCTGAAAGAAGAAAAATTCTAAACAGATGGATTGCATTTTAGTTTCTGAGATTTTAAAATAAGATCAAACGAATGGACTGTGTCTTTGATTGGTCATTTCCTAACAGAAAGAACAAATTTCCTTCGAGCAAGGAATAGGGATGATAAACTGTGCAAAACCACAGACGCGAATGATTTGAATAAAAAGTTTCTTCTTTTTCTACGATAAAATGATCTGTCACTCGGAGGATCTGAACTCGTTCCTGATCCCCGACAAATGCATCGTTTTGACTGCAAAATAGACTTGTGCATAACAGTCTAACCATATTGAACGACAAGAATTTAAATGATTAATGTAGACAAAATTAGCCCCAGTTAACCTATGCTGCTATTCTCCCTTTTCCAAAACAATTGATTATTTTTTTCATGTTTGAATATTGCTGCTTATAAAAACGGCGTGACATTTATTGTGCTGTATTTGGCATGACTACGAAACACTGAAAACGAGCTTGTTCGCCACTCTTTGTTCTGTTCGAAATGTGCTCTATGGGACTGTTTAGACATTTAACGTAATGTAAACGTTCAAAGCTTTCGGACATCCTAGCCACCCCAACTTACGCAAAGTTATCAGTCATTCCAATTGTATGGCTATGTTTCAAACGGCCTAAATCTGTACTTCACCTTTAACTGGTGCAGGCAATGACAGTATGAAAACGTGGGGAATATGTTTCCGTTTCTTCTTTTTGCACCGCATAAATCCGGTGTTTTCGACACACTTTAGTTAAAATTCAGGAGAATCTGATGAAATTTCTTATTTCGTCTTTTCAGTTGTTTGCCGTCCATGTTCTCAGAATGGTAAGAATCGTGCATGTGGGAGTGGGGGTAATCCAAAAATCTAAGAGATGAAATACTTTTGTCACAGAGTGGATAACTTGGTGCTTAGTTTCTCAGTGCGCTTGTAAATCAGAACGCAAGTGTATCACCTACCCAGACGACCTCTATGCAGTAATTGTAGCTAATTACCATGACTGGTGGATGGCTTGAAACATACTCTGATACACATACACTATCTCCTTCCGTTTCGTGCTCTGACCACAGCACAGACAGCGGTGGGATATACCAGGAACAGCCAAGTGAGCCCCATGAACACGTTACCATTACCGGAGTACGGTGAAGGCTATTTAATGATGCATTGGTCCCATTTGGGCAGTGGACTGAAAGCAGAGCAGTTCTGAGTTATGGTTAGTGTTTCTGTCCGTTAATTTCTGTTTGTTGTGCTTGAAGCGGGTTAGAGACGGGAGCATCATACATTTCGATAAATTGTTGAAAATCAATTGAACAGAAATCAGTCATCTAAAAGTAGCAAAACTCCATATGATCATCTATGTTATTGTTGATCTATGCTCATCAGAGTGTGTCCACAATCGCCATCTGACGTCCTGGAATGTGTACATAGGGGATGATACACCCCGCCCCCCCCCGCCCATCAAAGCTTGCACTGTCAATCGCTAACCCTTTCACATCACTCCGGTTTAGAATACTTGTTGAATTCAAAAATGGAAGTCAAGTATACGGCTTCCGGTAAACAATGGGTATAATACCCGGTATTTTTATCTTTCTTTTCAAAGATTGTTCCAAGTTAACCAATCGATTCATGAGTGGGACGGACATCTCATCTCACACTCTGACCAGAGCAGCCCTGAGTTTGTTCATACAGAGTAACATCCCGTCCACTTCTTTCTCACTATAGCTTCACAATCACGGCACAAAAACTAAACATGTAGCAACAGAACCAAGTCTCACATGCAAGCTAGGCTTGATTTGAAAATGTGGCGTGAATACCTAGGCCGTCAGC